TAATTGAGAGCCTTGCTGGGTAGAGCAGTCTTGGTTGCAGGCCTTTGCATTTCATGACTTGGAATATTTCTTGCCACTCCCTTCTGGCTTGCAGTGTTTCTGTTGAGAAGTCAGATACTAGCCATATCGGAGCTCCCTTATATGTTACTGCCTCTTTCTCCCTTGCTGCCATTAAGATTCTCTGTTTCTTTGTTATTTGCCATTTTAATGATGATGTGTCTTGGAGTGGGGCTCATGGGGTTCCTCTTGAATGGGACTCTCTGTGCTTCCTGGACTTGTGTGACTTTTTCTCTCCTCCAATTAGGGAAGTTTTCCATCATTACTTTTTCAAACAGGCTCTCTATCCCTTCCTCATCCTCTTCTCCTTCTGGTATACCTATTATACAGATATTATTATGTTTCACGTGGTCCTGCATTTCCCTCCATGCCTCTTCATTCTTTTTGAGTTTTTTTTCATTTTCTTGCTCTTTCTGGAAGTTTTTTTCTAGCTTGTCCTCCAGCTTGCTGATTTGGTCCTCAGCTTCATCGAGCCTGCTTTTGATTCCTTCTACTGTGTTCTTCAATTCAGAAGTTGTATTCTTCATTTCTTCTTGTCTCTTGATAGTTCCTATGTCCTTTTTCATGCTAATACAGTTTGCAGTAAGTTCCTTGTAGTTTCCCTGCAGTTTTTGGTAATTCTCTCTGAGCTCACTGAGCTCATTGCGCTTCGTTAGAACTGTTGTTTGGAACTCAGTATCTGATAGTTTACTTGCCTCTATTTCATTTAGTTCTCTTTGTGGGGATTCCTCCTTTCCCTTTGAGTGGGGCGTATTTCTTTGTCTTCCCATTATTTGTGAGACTCTTCTCTTTTGCTTCTGATTCTTAGGTTGATCTGTCTTGATTTCCTGACTTTGTGGTGTGAACTTCTATGGTTGGAGACTGCTGTTTTTACTTTCTGAATCTGCCTCTGAAGATGTCGTAAGTCATTCACATCTGACCTTAGGCAGTCTGTTTGACACTTCCAGGAATCTGTCTGTGGCTGTCTCCTTCAGCTGTTAATCTATTCACTTTGCACTCAGCAGGGTGCCTTAGACAGCTCAGGGCGGGGCAGAGTCCCTCCTGGGGGCAAGGTTATTGGGTCCTCTCTAGCTGCAGCCATATGGGGGAGGAGCGGCACTGGGATTCTGCCAGCTACTCTCTCCATTCTCTCCCCAAAGCCTCCGTCTCCAGTCTCTCCTCCAGTCTCAAGAACTCTGGCATGGCACATTACTTTTCATCTCTTTACTTTCTATTCACTTGTATCTTTGAATGTAAAGTGTATCTTTTATACACATCATTTTTTAAAATTTCCACTTGCTGAACTCAGCCATTTGATGAAATGTTTAGCCCATTCATATTCTAATGGAATTATTGACCTAGTGGGAGTTTTATTATTTGTCTTATATTATATTTATACCTCTATTGCTCCTTTACTGCTTTTTGTTAAATATTTTTTTAGTTCACTATTTTAATTCCTTCCATTAGTATTATACTTTGTGAGTTATTTTCTTATTGTTTTGCTCTATTAATTGCAATGGGCATTTTAGTTTATCATAATCTACTTCAGTATAACAGACACCTAATTCTGGTAAAATATATAGCTTCTCTTTTTATTTCCTATTTCCTTGTGCTATAATTGCCATATATATCACCTGTATATGTTATAAACTCGCAAAAGCAGTCTAGTTACTGCTCTACATAATTATATATTTTAAAAGAGCAAAGCGAAGAAATGGGAAATATATTTATAGTTTAAAAAATTTGGCCCTGGCTGGTGTGGCTCAGTGGATTGTGTGCTGGCCTGTGAACCAAAGGGTTGCTGATTCAATTCCCAGTCAGGACACATGCCTGGGTTGCAGACCAGGTCCCAAGTAGGGGATGTGCAAGAGGCAACCACACATTGGTGTTTCTCTCTCTCTTTCTCACTCCCTTCCCCTCTAACAATAACTAAAGTATTTTGAAAAATTGGCCCACATATTTACTATTTTTGGACATCTTCATTTCTACCTGCAGATTTTATTGTCTGGTGTCACTTCTTTTTGGCCTGAAGAACTTCCTTTGGTAATTCTTGTGAGGCATAGTGTACTAGCAGTGAAGTCTCTCTCTTCATTCTCCTAGGAATATCTTTTTTCACTTTTGTTTTTTGAAGGATTATTTTGTCCATACCGAATTCTTGTTTGACAGGATTTTTCTTCCAGGACCTCAAATGTCTTTCTACGCATTCTGGCTTCTGCTATTCCACAAGAATTCAGCGTTAATCATGTTGCTCCCTTGCACATGATGAGTCACTTTTCCTTTGCTGCTTTCAAGCTTCTTTTTCAATATTTTATCTAGGATGTGTCTGGTTGTAAATCTGTGTTTATCCTACTTTATGTTTGTGAAATTTTTGAATGTATAGATACATTTTTAAAATAAAATTTGGGAAGATTTTGGACATTATTTCTTCAAATGTATTTTTTGCTCCTTTCTCTTTTCTTCCTCTCTTCTGTCCCTCCCGAATATGCTGGGATGCTTGATAATGCCACACAGGTGTCTGAGGCTCTCTCTAGTCACTTTTCTTCAATCATTATGTTGTCTCTTCTTCAGGCTGGTTGTTTGCTACTGATCTATCTTGAAGTTACTGAGCCTCTGTGGTGGCCCTCTTAGTGGGTCCTTTTCAGTTTTCTTATTTTTCAAGTCCAGAATTTCCATGTTTCTCTTTTAAAATAATTTCTTTGAAATTATTGATTCATTATTGTCATAATTTTCTTAATTTTATAAACATTGTTTCTTATACTTTGATATATCTGCATCAGCTGCCTTAAAATCTTTGTTAAATGTATCATGTGCAGACGATCAAGCTAGCTTCTAGGGACTGCTTCTTGCCATGAGTATGGGTCACATCTTCATTTCTCTGCAAACCTTGTTATCCATGAAATTAATTCATGCTTTCTAATGTATGATCAGTATCTGAAATTCCATGTGTTTGGGAATAAACATTCTCTAGCATCAAGGTATAAAGTTTGATATTGCTATATGATCTATATTATTATATTGCTTAGGTCATCTATCACCCTTAGTTTCTTCCCACTTGACTTTCCTTGGACTAAAAGTTCAAATCTCCTACTCTTAAGTGTATTTGTAGTTTCCCTTGAATCTCTATAGTATATAGTATATGATTTGAGTGTGGGTTGTGGTATTTAGTGCAAAATTATTTGTAATTGTTCTATCATTATTTTAATTGTGCCCTTTAGCACTACATGCTTAATGTCTCTTGGCTTGAATTCTACCTTGTGACATCTGGAATACTTTCTCTGCTTTCTGTTTTCACTTTTCTTTATGTTTAGCCTTTCTGAGCCACTGAGTTTTGGTTTGTCTCTTTTATCTACACAATAAGCTTATTCTGCAGCTTTCCCTGTTCCTTTTCCTCCCGTATTTTATTAGCATCACTTGTCAGAGTATGTAACACTTACATATTATTCTTCCATTTGCCCCATTTTTACTTTAGTCTTACATGTAATATATTCATCACTCATATTTGTCCTTTTCAAGTTTTGTTATTTCTTGATTAGATGGAGCTGTGCTCAATAACACAGTATTGAGCTCTAATTTTAAATTGTTTTTCTATAAACTTGTTACTTGAAAGACAGTTTTTCTGGTTATAAAGTCCTTTACTTACATTCATTTTTGCCTTGAATCTCTTTAAAATGTTACTTCACTTTTATTTTGCTTTGTATGTTGCTGTTGAAAGATGAATTGTTATTCTTTTCTGTGTTTCATCATTCTTAAGCCTCCCAGTCCATTCTCTTTATCTGACAATAAGTAGGGATATAAAGTTTAAGTATTCTCTACAATATAATCCATACTGTAAGTGTAGGTAATGGATAGTTTTATTTAATGTCATCAGAAGGATGGTGTCAGATGAAGGTATCCTCAAACATCTCTATTTCTGGGACTAAGGTTTTATGTCCACAAGGAAAGATGGCATCAGGTCCACACATCAGATTATTGTTTTATTTCATAAATTTTAAGTTGTACCTTTCACATCCACATCACCTCTGTGATACTGAAATGTATTTTACAACTGATGGCATATTACAGATAGCAGAGTATATAAAATAAACACACAGGGTCCAGTTAGTGTCCTAATTTGCCTCAATGCTCCACTTTTCCTGAGTTGCAACCTCACTGTAGACAACAGAAATGGAGCAGTCACGTGGCTCCTTCATCCTGTGGGCAACTGTATTGAGCAGAAATGGGCTCCCAATACTACAAAATATTACAATGGCTGCTCACTGTAGTCATTGCTTTTCGCAACTGAGGATCATTACAGAGCACTTCTGAGCCCTATATTTCTAAGAGAAATTTGTAATCTGCATCAGATTTGAGGGGACTATTTTTCCTCAGCATTTTGCTCAGCTGGTATTTTGGTGGTGTACGTTTTTGGACTGTGGTTATTCTATAGTTTTAAAAAGAAGTTATTTTTATTTAAAATATTGGTGTTTTTCAAGGACTGAAGTAAAATAATGTATGTTCTTCTGCCATCTTTTCCAGGAATTTACAATCACTTGTCAAAAGTAGCAATAAACATCTAGCTGCAACTTTGACTTAGAAAGAACACAGTAGTTGAAAAGTTACAATCCTCATCTTTTATAAAATTCTGGTTCTGGTATTTCTGTAGTTCTACGTGGCCAAGGCTTAAATTAGTAGGAGCCTAGGAAATTTCAGATATTGTTGTACTACAGTATGTAAAAAGTAGTAAGAAATTAGTATTTTCTAACCCTCCCAACCCCCACAAAAATATCATCCTAGATTTGTAAAAAAATAAAATCAAGGAACTATTTTGTTGAATACCTTATATATGCAAAAAGATTCAATATCAAGAATGTAGATTTATTTTCATTAAAAACAAACAAAACAGATTTATCCTTCAAGCAGCAGCAGCAATCACAAGGCACATGTGTATGAGATACCTCAAGCAAAATTGAAACCAAACATTAAAAAATGTGTGATTTAAAAGGATTGTGAACATAAATTATAAAATTGATATTTTTACAATTCCATTCCTTTACCTTTAATAAGAGAAAAAATAATGGTGTAAATTTATGCAACATGTGTGGAACATCACACACATTTATACCACCTAACTTGGTTTGCTAAGGAAAAAACACAGCTGAAGTACAGCTTAAACATTTTATTTTTAGAACTTACATCATTTTTGAATATTTGGAATTAATAAGCTGAAAAGAAAACAACTTCTCATTTCCCTTAGCTTATAAAAAGTCTATAGTTACATGTCCCTATACAAAGGCAAACCCACTATACAAAAAAGGAATACACTGAAGGTGTTAAAAAACAGTGAGGACATAATTTATATTTTAGGATCATCACAACTACCCTCTTCCTAAAAGATTAGGTCTACATATAATAAATGGAAAGGTAAATTCTAGTAAAATAAAATAATATCTGCTTTAAATTATTGCTCACTTAGAAAGTATTATGACTATTCTCTGGTTAGAGATTCTCAAATTAGCTGTCCAAAATGATGTAACAGCAGTGTTTAGTGTTTATAAAAATTCTAGATTCATATAGAATGAAAAGTTTATGATAACTGCACAAAAAGTATTCCTTTATATGTTAGCCACTGCTGAGCTTCACAGGATGAAGACTAGAAAAGACAGAGTTGAATGAAATCTTCAAGGATACATACATATTGCAGACATTTTTCTATGAAGTCTTAAAGAGTGCTTACAGAATCTTCACCAGTACAAAGGAGAGAAGAAAAACTGAAGCTCCATTTTTAAACAGTGACAACAAAAAAGAATATAAACTACTAGTATAATAAAACACTTAAGTAGTACTAAATAAACAGCACAATTTAAATACCAGTTATATGCTGTCAATAGTTTTCTTTAAAAAAAAAAAAAAAAAATCAGTTCTCGGGCTTTGAGATGTTTTCTTTGTAGAAATAACCAGCATCGGGCTTATGGGCACACACTGAGCGCACACCTGCTGCAGCTTCAACAGCAGTGTCAGGAGTGCGAAGGGCCTCTTGCTGCTCCCTCCCAGCACCACTGAGGCCTGTGTATGTCATGCAGTGGCCACCAGGCCCTGCAACGGACTACAGCAGGACAGCCTGGGCCACCTCCTTGATCGTGGATGCGGCTTTCTCCAGCTCCTCTTCTGTTTGTTCCACTGTGACCACAACCCTAATGCTGAGAGATAATAACAGACATCTGTTTTGTGAAAAAGCTCTCCTGGAACACAGCCGACCCAGCAGCTGACCTGCTGTCACAGCTGTTTCTTGCTATGACACAGGGTAAGAGGTGGGAACAGGGCCCTACGTCCTGTAGAATGCAGACATTTCCTATCAGGCTGTTCACAGAAGCTTGTTGCCCTGCCTGAACTGTGTGTGTGTCTACTTGAAGTCATCTACAGTAGGGCTCTGCCCAGGGATGGCAGCAAATTGACTGTTCAAATAATCTATTGGCTCAAGCAGCACCAGGCCCGAGGTGAGAATTCTAGTATCTCAAATTAGTGAACTGTCTGCTTGCTTATGTTTATAATTCAGTAAGTCATGTGGAAGTTCTATAATACATTCAGGCAAGGCAGACATTTTCAAGTCTGCAGAAAACTGAAGACAAATATCAGCTCCTCAGGTCAATTCTACCTCTGTCTCTCTGCAAACATCTGCTTCATCCACTGGACACATCTACTGAGCTGCTGTGCTGGGCATGGAGCCCGGGGCATAAAGCAAACATGGCCCCTGTCCTCCCAACACACTGAATCACAGCTTGCCTGGGTGCAGTGAGAAATGAGACGGCAGGATCTTTAGGCTACTTTTGAGCTGATGCCAGAGTGGTTTTCCAGAACTCCAGCCCGGCCCCTTTGTCTACAAAGCTCTGACTCCCATTCACTCCCAAGGTGCTCCCAGGTCTTCTCCAGGCTCCCTCTCAATGCTGCCTTTCAAGCTTGTGCTCTGGTTCCCACATGCACCTGTAGGTCACCACGCCACACCATAACCTACTTCCTACTAGAAGGCCACAATGCCCACCAGGTGCCTGACATATTCTATTTTTGGGGCTTACCCAGTGGCCTTTCTCTGAAACCTGAGTCACTCCCAGGCCAGAATAACCATGGCCTACTTCTCTGTAACCTCACTGATCCCTGCCATGACATGCCTCATGTGCTTCCCTCCTTCCACTACGCCGCCAGTATGTGGAGGCCAGGACTGATGTTCTGTTAGATCATGAGTCCTGGCACACCCCATGCAGGGCTTCCTGATCCTTGCAATTTCTTCCCACTGCAGTTTTCCCTGGATGTTTCATGAGGATTGTGGGATCAAGTGCCCCACAGTACTCCAGCCAGAGGCACTGTCCTCATGGCGGAAACTGCTTGCACAGTGTCTTCTCAGGGGTGTGGCGGGTATTTGCTGATGGAAACTTCCACTGTTTCAGTTTTATCTTAGAATCTCAGACATTTCTTTCAGTGAACTAAGAGGATACTATGAATCTTGTGGGGCTTTTCAGTTAAAATTTGAAAACACTTAGTTTAAGAATAGACAACAGTTGATGTTTTAATGATAAACACTCTTCCTTGCCCTGTAATAGCCTTTAAAAAAACTTCAAGGTACAATACATTTCATACAGGTTTTAGGGTAGGAAAGCAAAAGTTCATGCTTTAATGCACCAACCTTGGAGGAGGGAGGCACTTCTCTTCTTTCTCCAAGTAGCGTGCCTGAGTTAATGCGATGCTTCTGTTCATGCACTGAAGGAAGAAGAGGAATACATTCAAACCAGGACTTCAGACACTGTGGTAATCTAAACAGGAAGGCGCCCTGAAATGCTATCCTAAACTGTAGTTTTAATTCATTTGTCCAATTATAACTGCTGGAAGACATAACCAACACAGCATAACACAACTGAGGGCAGCACTATTGAACTGTCCACTACAGCAGCCATGAGCCCATGTGCCTATTGGGTGCTTGAAGATATGGCTAGTGCCACAGGGGACTGAGTTTGTAGTTCAACATAATTTAAATAGCCACAGGCAGCAAGTAGTTACTTTAGACAAAGCTGAGTTATAACACGGGGCAACTGTACCACCAAAGCCCTGTATACTAACCAAGAACTGGACTTAAGAATAGTGGCACCAGAATGTCAGAGGGAAACTGCTCCTATTCCAAATACTAGTGATGCCTCTGGTTCCTGCCTGCCACATTTGGCCAGGTACAATCAAGCACAGAAGGGCCTGCTGCCACACATTTGTGCAAAGCTTTCCCATACATTAATCACCTGCTGACATTTTTTAAAACTTAAAACATTCTCTATCAAAATAAAGCAAGCATAAAAATCAGATCAAGGTAGTTACAGTGGTTTTTTGGGGGGTGATGAAAACACTTTGGTTGGTGATGGTTGCACAACCTTGTGAATATATGAAAACCACTCAATTGTGTAATTTAAAAGGGTAACTTCAGTGGTATATGAATCATATTTTTAAAAAAGAGCCAATTAACAAGAGGATAGGACAGTCATTCCCCATGCTGGGAGTGGGACACTGTGGAAGCTGCCAGGCAGTGAGGCCAGGCATCCTGGTGCTGTGTCTGCATCCTGGAGGTGCGTCCACAAAAGCTCACTCCTCCCCAAGACATAGGCATTTTCTCTAGCCCTGGCTAGTCGAGGAACATTATAAACCTTCACTCAGAGGGTACGAAATGTGTTTTGTCAAGCAACTCAACAAAATGACAAAACCTCTCAGTTCTACAAAGCTTAGACATGAGTTGCAGTTCCGTGATTCTATTTGCCTCAAATACTGAAAAAGAAGAGCAGAGAGTGCACAGAAGACTTTGAAGATGGAAACTGTGACAACGCACAGAAATGCTAAGAGCTTCCTTCTTCCTTCCCATAATGCAATTTCCAGACAGGGTTCTGTCCCCTCCCCATAGGACCTGTGCTCTTCTCATTCAGCTCTCGAGGTGATTTCCTGAACACAACCCACACTGAGCTGGGGCCTGCAGACAAGATTTGGGGATCTGTGAATTGTCCAATGACATTCACGCTCTTTTTCTGTTATAAGGACACTCTATGTAAGTGCATACTATTAATATTGAATAATCTCTCTCACATGCCCTCTTCTGCACAAAGTGGTAGTGAGACCTAAACTGTTGCTGTCTAGTAAGCAAAGTACAGAGGTGGATTTAACAAGGATCTGACACCCCGACATTTAGAAAGGCCCATATCCTGCACATAAATATGTGCAGAGGACAATGTGAACTCCAACAGAGGACACAAAGCTTCAGGGGCCTGCCCTGCAGTAGTCACATCTGTCACACCACCAGGCCATCTAGGAAACAATCTCACTGTCACCGAAAGGCAATGTGATTAAACTGTCTTCCTGGCTTGTCCCTTCAGCTCATGTTTCATTTATAAACTTCAGTACCACATTTGCCTAAGAACTCTAATCTCAAGGACGATGTACTACCTTTTGTCTGTATACATTTAAGTAGCATTACAAAGAAAACACCAAGGCAGTGAATATGGTTGGTGGGATGTTCGTCCCTTAAAAGAGCCAGTCCTTTTTCACATGTACCTGAGGGGACATCTGTGACATTTCCTTACTCAGCAAGGTGAGAGTCACTCCAGCCCAATCATTTATAATCTGACATGTTTCCTACATTAGGAATTTCACATTTTGGGTTTGGTAATATTTTGGTTTTTTAAAAGGACTGACTCTAGAAGGCCACAAACTGTATGGAGATGTCCAGGAACCAGGAATAGGTGGTTCACACATCGCTGGAGATACAGGACACCCAAAACAAGCTGGGAAGCTAGAGGCTGGCTTCACACTGTGGTCCCCATACCAAGCACTCTCATGACTGTAGGTGAGGACTTGACCTCCATGAGCCACAGCCAGGCAAAGGCACACAAAAGAATTACCCTGCCGCCGAGCAGTGGGGACTCAAAGAGGAACCTCCAGAAAAAAATGTCATCAGGAACAAGCAGGTCAAGGAAGCAGAGTGCAGCCTGTTTTCATCCTCAAATACATATGAGATGTATTTCAGATTTAAGTACAAGGTATGAACACTCACGGAGCTGCAGGGCCACTGGACATTTTATAGAAGGAAGAGGAGCAGTACAGAGGAAAATGAGGAGGGATGACTGCAGGAAACACAGCCTTGCTGAGCCGAAAAGGGCAAGCGGTCTTCCCCAGTGAGCATTTCTTGGCTAAGAACTGAGTTATAATTAGTAATACATTGACTTTCCAATAAAGATATTGAAATCAACCTCCCAAATTAGGCATGGTTGCAAAGTGGTCTTCCTTCCTTCCTTTTGGTTACAAGATTATTGTAGCCTGTTTCTGAGCTATGTTGGAAGTTCACCCTGACAGGTAGCTATCTGGTGTTGTGTGTGGTCACTACACAATGCTGTCCCCACCTACATGTAAGAAAGCCTGGCTTTGCACGTGGTAAGTAAAAGGGCTTTCTGGAAGGTTATTCAGAGTAGAAGCACAGTGTATTTTATATTTTAATAAAACATAGCACAGAACACACCACCTTCAATGTGAGTTGAAAACAGACCCATTGGGATAAACTGTTCCTGTCAGAGATGTGCTACAGACTCAATTGGGCATTAGAACAATTCCATGAGAGGGGTGACCAGGAAGTTCCATTATACCCCTCCCTGAGGCAAAGAGAGCGTTCTTAAAAATGACATAAAAAATTGCTTGGGTTCAGGGGAGGAGTGGTAAAGGAGAATCACTTGAATAACTGCATACTTACTTGATTTACAATTTCCTGAAGTAGTTTCACATCATTTTCTCGTGACCCAGTGCTCTCTTGCAGCTGCAGGTGAAAAGCTGGAGACAGTGCCTCCCCAACCACTTTTAACCCAGAAATGCTGGGGAAGGGAGAACATACATATAGCTCAGCTCCCTTCCAGGCTCAGGTACCTCCACACAGAGAATTTTATAGTCTGCATTAATGAATGTTAACAGAAACCTGTGACTTTTACAGGAAACCACCCTGTGGTGGGATTCCAATTCAGACAAAAATAAAATGCATGCTCTGAGCACCGTTCCCAGTTCAGGACCCCCCATGCTGTTTATGTGAGCAGAGCTGGGAGGAAGGTGCCCATCCGGTGGACACCTCTGGATCACATGTCATAGAAAGCACAGGAATCACCTCCAGTCTCCCCCCAAATCTGCAGGCCCTGCTACCTCACCTACCTGGGCTCGGGAGGCCCCTCCTCCTATGGCTCCCTGCAGACCATCAGTCCCTAGGCCTTCGCCTTCTTGTTTCCTCTCCCCATCTGCTCTCTCTTTTCCTCCCACTGCTGGCACCAGACATACCTGGTCTCAGCCCCAGTGTCACTCCCCGGGGCCTCCCTTATCACCCACTCTAGGGAAGGGCCTGTGCCATCATTTTCTGTACTTGCTCTTTTTGTTTCTTTAATTTCATGGACTGATTACAACTGTTTCCTTGCTTACTATCTAAGTCTTTGGTCTGTATCTTGTCTTATAAATCATACGAATAATCATATGAATTATACGAATAATACAAATTATACGAATAATAAATCATACGAATAATACGAACATTGAAAATGTTGTAATTCGACTACCAGCAATGTGTTTAGATTGAAAAGTCCCCTTCTTATTTGTATGTTTAATTTTAAATTTTACTGAATATATTTTCTTCTTTCTTAGGATTAACAGCACAGAAATCTACTGCATCTCAGGGAGAAAGATATTTAAGGATGTTTGACCTATGCCCTAGAACACAAATGGTAATACATATTTATTGAAATTAGGCTAAACATTTTGGATTTTTCATTTAGCTTGTTTCACCTGGAAAGATCTGTTCTTTCCTCAAAATAAAATGAGCACAGAAAGCGCATGGGAGCATACCTGATTCCTCACATAAAATTAGGGCTCCACAAGCTTTTACTGAATGTCTACCACATGCCAAGTAGCATGGGAGGTGCTGGAAGCAAACATCACCTGGCTTTCAAACCACCCTTGCACATTATTAAATTGTGTCTCCCTTCTTTCTTTTAAAAATTTTTTAATTTATTTGTTTTTTAGAGAGAAGGGAATGGAAGGAGAAAGGAAGGACGAGAAACAGCAATGTGAGAATCATAGATCGGTTTGCCTCTCGCATGTACCCCAACTGTGCCCTGATCAGGATGGAACTGAGACGTGGGCATGTACCTGACAGATATTGAACCTGCGACCCTTTGCTTTGTGGGACAACGCCCAACCAACTGAGCCACACTGGTCAGGGTGCTCCCCCTTTCTTTAAATGTATACGTCCTTTTATGATCTCTGAGTAAATCACACTGTGAATTTGAATCACGGAATCTTAGAAATAGGGCTTCTGGAATGTGGGAGAATCTCCTAGATTAGTTTTCTTTACTTATCTAGGAGCAAAACAATATGTTTTTTTAAAACCCATATCCTATTTGAACTTTGAATGTGCTAATTCTTTTTAATGTACCAATTGTTTTTAGGCCACGTACTCTCAGGGGAGAATTTTAAAAAATTGCTTTTCAAAGAGCATTTCATATGAATTAAATGGCCTGGATTTTTCTTCACACATAAAAGGCACCTATGGCCCAATTGAGCTTGTGCTTCGATCAAATGGGCTCATTTCACACAGTGGGTAAGGCAGGCTGGTGAGTGAAGGAAGGAAACAAAATGCCCTTTCTCTGGCTGTCATGACTGAATGTCAGATGAAAGTGTAATTAAAACCAAATGGACACAGAATCATAGCTTGAGTTCAGAGACTCAAAAGCTATGTTTTAGGGCCTATTATACTTCTAAAAAAAATTCTGTATAACATGTATTATTCAAATAGGTAAATAATAAATAAGCACTGGGCCAGGTCCCAGGCATAGAGCAATCAACAGTTCAGAGGTGACCTCCATCATGTGCTTACGGTCAGGGAGGAAGCTGGACACAAATAACTATCTGCTAGAATTTAGGAACTCCTCAAGTTTCCAGCAAGGAATCAGACTAGCACAGGAGGCTGACTTCTCCCAAATGCAACCTCAGAGATGAGAGAAAAAAAATCTCTGATTAGAAGAGACTAAAAAAAAATTACTTAGAAGTAAACATCAAAGACACTGCCTTTGATATTATTTTTCTTTAAGATATTTATTGGAAAATAAGAAATAAAACCAATAACCAAAATATAAGAAGCTAAAAAAAGAGTAAGAACAAATTCATCAAATAAGTAGAAAAATAAGAAATAAATAAAGAAAATATGATTAAAAAACAAAATTAAATTCAAAAAGGAGCTTGGCAAAATTAAAGGGCTGGGCGTCTTGCCCAGTTCTGAAGAGACAATGATCAAGCCTGATCACATACAAGGGCTCCATAAAGCAGAAAGTGTGAAAAACCGCTCAATCATTGATCAAGGAAGGCTACTAGAATGCTGATTTGTAGATTACATAAGGTTGGTATAAAAAAGATTATATGACCATTTAAATGATAAGTACGGATATAAAAATTCAAATTAAAATACAAGCTAACTGCATCTAATAGTGTAGAAAATTGTATTGTAATCAAGTAGGAGTTTAGTCAGAAATGCAAGGATGGCTTAACATCAGAAAATACACCAATGCAATTCAGCATGAGACAAATCTATAATTTAAAAAAGTCTCCAAATCTAGGAGTCATCTGACTCAGGCCACCCACCCAAAACCTATCATATGATGTTTTACACTTAATGAACACTTTTATATTGGGAATGAGAAAAGGATGTCTGCTATTACTGCCACCGTTCAATAGAGTATTAGAGACCCAGGCCAATGTAATAAAAGAAGAAAAAGAACTACTAAGATGTTTAAGAATTAAGAAGAGAAAAATATTATTGCGGATAACAGGATTTCTATGTACATCATCTTAACAGAATGAAACAAATGACTAGAATTAATAAGATCTTAGACTGCTGAATGTAAGATCAGTTTATAGAAAACAGTAACATTTTTATAAATGAGCAGTAAGTAGAAAATATTAGAGAGAAGAAAACCCCATTCATACTAGGAACAGCATCTACAGAATACCTACAAATTACCCTTAAAGGTCTCATAGAGATACAGTATCTTAGGGAAAACATTTAAATTGCCCTGATAGTAACAGGTTCAGGAGAAACCAGGAAGGGAGGGATCAGACATAGTTACATAACTGTTTTGAGGAGTTCTGCTGTTAAGAGGAACAGAGAAATGGGATGGTGGCTGGAGGAATAAATGGACACACAGGAAAATTCAAATAAGTGAACACAAATCCCCACCACACTAATCAGAAAATTAAATGCAATTACAATTAAAATTCTAGTAAAATTTTTGGTGGAACTTGTACTCCAAAACCTATACAGTGATTGGGCTCACTTTGGCAGCACATGTACCACAGCTTATGCAGTGATAAAAACAGAGATAGTAATAAAAACAGTCTGAGGACTGAGCAAATAACCAACGAAGGGGAAAAGAGCTGAAAAACAGAATCAGGTATGTAAGTAGGAAACTGGTATATGACAGAGACCAACCAGTGAGGAAAGGGTGTGATGTATGGATATTTAGAAACTGACTACACTAGGATTAATATAAATGAGACCTCCCTCTCTTGACCCCATTTATTCCTCCAGCCACTATTCCATTTCTCTCTTCCTTGTTAACAGCAAAACTCAAAACAGTTATATAACTGTGTCCAACCCCTCCCCTTCCTGGTTTCTCCTGAACCTGCTTCTATCAGGCTTTTTGCACCCACTGCTCCCCTGCAACTGCTCATCAAATACAACAGCCTCCACATTTTGAAACCAAAGGAACCCGCTCTCAGTGCTCTTATCTGATCTATCAGCAGCAGCACGGGACACACGGACCTACTTAACACACTTTTGGCACTAGAGTCTTCTGCTTTGCCTCTTCCTCACTCTTTCTCAGTCTTGTTGGCTGGTCCCTGACCTCTTCATATTGAAATGTTTGAAATACTATTTATATGCAATTGATCCCCAAATTTATCTCCACCTCAGTCCTCTCCCTTAAACTTCAAATTGTATATCCAACTGCTACATTCTCCTGGACGTGTGATGGCATTTCAGGCTTAACATATCCAACACTGAACTTCCACAACAAACAAACTTCCCCAAAGAGTTCTAACCACTTCACTTACTAGCAACTCTGTATAGTTACTCAGACAAGACAAAAATTAAGATCAAGCTTGAGTCTTCTTTCTCACCCCCTGAATGTGACCTTCTGGCAATACCACCTTCAAAGTATATCCAAAACCCACTGCTACTATGAAGGTCGAAGTCACCTTCATCTTATACATGCAGCACCTCACAATCTCCTCACTGGTCTCCCTGCCTCTGTACTTGCCACCGTGTATATTACGCATTTTTTCAAACAGCGTAAGAGTAATTTTGCTAAGAGGTAAGTTAAGTCATGTCGTGCCATGCTTGCCCAGAACCAGGCCACGACTTCCTACTTGAGCCAGGTTCTTGTCATGTCCTTCAAGGCATGCCCTGGCCCGTTCTCCTCTCTTGCCAACTGGCATCCTTGATGTTTTGTTTCCTGTTTCTTCTAAATATCTAGATACCTGTGTGATATGCTCCCACACTTGCCTTATTGTGTGTTTGGTATGAGGTGCCTGCTGGATCCTCTTAAATAGAGATACTAAGCAAGCCTCTGGATGTGAGACCTGGAACCCTACAGAGTGGGATACACTGGCGACACAAGTTTGTGAGTTGTCCACATAAAGGTGGCATGATCTGAAGATCCAGGGGTGGAAGAATGCAATTCTCCAAGAAGGTAATAGAGAAAAGGGCCATGGACTAAGCCCTGAAGAGCAGGGTGCTAAAAGAAAGGCTTCAAAGGAGACCAAAATGAAGCAATTAAAAAAGGTAGAAGAAAACCACAGTGTGGAGTAAGAGAATCCATAGAGAGAGAGAGCTGCAAGGACAGTGATCAATTGTGCTGAAGGCTAAAAAGGTAAGTGAGATGAGCTCTGAATACTGTTGGATTTAGCAACAAGGCCATTACTGGTGACCTCCACAGGAACAGTCTGGGTGAAGTGTAAGAGCAGATGCAGGTTCAGGAGTTTCAAGTGTAAATGAAAGCTAAGGATGTGGAGAAAGCACTAACAATTATAGGAAAGATGAGCTACAAGGAGAAGCAGAGCACAGGCTAGTGCTCGAGATAAAGGCTGGGTCAGGGAAAGAAATGTATAGGCAAAATGTACCTGAACGCTAATCACATGACTTAGGAAAGAGAAAGACTGAAGACAAAGAAGAGGGACAACAAAGGCAACCGGTCTTTAGAAAGAAGAGCTGTGATGGCTGGAGGAACATTTCTTTGGCTGTAACGCAAGACCAGATAGGTTCAGACAACCATTAAGTGTACAAGTGTGCTGGGAAAAATAAGGGAGTTCCCAAGTGACAGCATGAGGCATGGTTGTCAGCTAAATGTAGATGGAGTGAGACACTGGGTTAAGGATACTGGAAAGATGAAAAGGCATGAAAGGGCTGGGAAAAATGGAGGACTGGACTTACAAAATAAACACCTTAACAGTGCAAGACAGAATGAAGAGTATCTGTTCTTGAATTTACAGTGACTCCAATGTGCTGCCCTGTGTTGGTATTAATATTTCATCAACCAATGTAACTGGAACCAATATAAATAATATCTCTCCACTATAAATCATGCAAGAACTTTTGTAACTATTAGGTAGACACACCCAGAACTTTAATTATTTCTGCCCCTACTTTATCGGGAACAGCTGTGATCTGCTCATTTTTCAACTGTTCTTGTCTTTTAGAAAAGTTTCTAGTTTCCATATCTGGCAATAGAGAGCTTTCATCACCAAAACGGCATGTTTCACCTTAAAAAGGCAGAAAGAAACACCCTGGGCAATGTGAGATCATTTTCTGTAAGACCAGAAATCTGCCTGAAAATGGCACCAAACTCTATTTTTTCCTCAACTCTAGAGGAATCTTAAAGTACTCTTGTGTTGTTAAAATAAATAAACCACTCATAAGGTTCTCTTCAATTTCACTTGTTTCTTTTTTCTTATACTAACTTTAAATAAAGCTTAGTAATTTTCTAAAAAGGAATATGGATAGTATAAACACACTGTGATCTAATTACATAGCATATATTATATCCTTTTATTTGTATGTATATGGAGATATTCTCCAATGTTTATGCTGGTTATTTCTGGTAGTAGATGTTGAGTTGTTATTTTTATCTTGTATACTGCTATAATATTTTATTAATGAGCTTGTATCATTTTTAGAAAAACAATCATGATTCTTTAAAATAATGACACAGTGGATGCTCTGATTTTATACACACAAACTTGAGTGAACTGAGTTTCTGATTTCTTAGTTGCAATTGTCACACTGACCCAAGCCTATCAAATGTATCCAAAACCAAAGAGATGACATTCAACATTTTTCATTAATTGTTTAAATGAGGTGTAGATGAACATTAAGTTGCCTGAAACATAAAAAATCTTACCCTTGTAAAGCTTTATGAATTCGTTTGCACTTTTCTTTCAACACTGCAAAAATACCTGAGTGAAAAAAAAAATACAGCCAATAGTACGGTTGACCCTTGAACAATGCTCAGGTTAGGGGCACTGACCCTCTCTTCATGAACTGCTGAAAATCCACATATAACTTGACTTCTCAGAAATTAAGCTGTCCCTTGGTATTTGTGGAAATACCAACATATGCAGATGTTCAAGTCACCTATATAAAATGACACAGATCAATGTACACAGTCAGCCCTCAGCCTCCTCGAACTTCTAACCACAGACTGAAAACAGTTGAGGTGTTTACTGAAAAAAATCGCATACAAGTTGGCCTGTGGAGTTCAAACCTGTGTTGCCCAAGGGTCAACTATATATTTGGAAACTTTGATATTACTAATCTAAAAATATTTTAAAGAGCCAGTTCAATTTCATCAGTTTAAAATGTTACAAATCCTTCTACATACCAGTAAAACACAGAGGGCTAAAAATTCCTCTGGAGGTCCAAGCTTTCATCCTTGGCTCATACTGATACGTTTTCACCCCACTTTCAGTAAAAATCTAGGATGACATTTTCTATAGCAAAACAATGACTACTGTTATTATCAAAATTCTATTATATAACCTAAGAATAAAAGGGTACAACTATATTTTGTTACTTCTGGACCCTAAACAACTTTGTAAAAAATAGAGACTGTATGTAATAAAGTAATGTTTCTGATCTTTCCCTTAATATTTTCCCTTTCCTCAAGGAAAACTCAAAAACTAAAATATCTAAGCAGGAGATGGGAGGGCCAAGCCATCTGCTGAGCAGGCATATGAATCTGCACAGAAAAACACTCACATTTCCCGATTCTCTGAGTTAAAAACAAAGTTGAAAATTTAGAAATTTAGAAGATTTAAAATTCAGAGATACCAGGTAATGCCTATTTTTCAAATTTTGTTTTAAGCTCTGGTGAGGAGGCATGGTCATAACCAAAGCCAAATTTGAAATTTAGTCGACTTTGCCAATTCAGTAAGCTTTAATGGTTGGTAAACTATATACCAACTGATAATTCAAAGGCTGAAGGAGAAACTAGACAATAGTTATAAAATTATATATAACAAAAATTAGTAGCACACTTTAGCTAATTTCTCCAAAAATGATAAACCAAAGGACAACTGGCCCTTTCTCCTCTCGGCATCTCTACCCACCAAGGGAACCAGCACTTTGGCTCTAGATCCAGAAACAGGAGAGAGGCTCCACACCCACCGCTGATGCAGGAACAACTGCTTCACTGTTCTTCCTATAATACCTAGTAATGAAATTCAGAGCCAGAGCTGTCTGATAAATCATTTCCTCTAGCTAATTCCTCCAAAAAGTACACCAGTACTATGGCTAACACAGCTTGCAAAGTCGGATATCCTAGGTCTGAAGGTTATACCTGGATTCTCTTCCATGATGTTGAGGGCCTCGATCGCGGCAGCAGCTAATAGGGGAGGTAACGAAGCTGAAAAGCAGTATCCCTGGCCAGAAAGTCTCTGAGAAGAAACAAACAAATTAAAAATATAAATACATTTCTTTCTTTTTTTTTGGCTAAAAAATCTAAAGGGACCAAATTTCTGCTATCACCTACCTAATAGTATATATAAATAGTGAGGTAGTAAAATCCAAGCATATCAAATAAGATTTTTTTTTAAAAGGGAGGAATTTCGCCTTGACCAGATGGCTCAGTTGGTTGGAGCGTCATACCATACACCAAAAGGTTGTGGGTTCGATTCCTGGTCAGAGTGCATACTAGGTGGCAGGTTCTATCCCTGGTCAGGGTGCATATGGGAGGTAACCGTTCAACTTTCGTCACATCAATGTTTCTCTTTCTCTCTCCCTTCTGCTCTCTAAATCAATAAACATATCCTTCGGTGAGAATTAAAAAAAAAAATTAAAAGGGAAATAATTTCTAAATGTAAGTATTTTGAGTGATTCTTTTAAATAAAATTGATGATTAGGCTCTGGCTGGGTAGCTCAGTTGGTTACAGCATTGTCCTGATACGCCAAGGTTGTGAGTTCGATCCATGCTCAGGGCACACAACAATAAGCAACCAATGAATGCATAAATACGTGGAACAACAAATGGATGTTTCTCTCTCTTTCTCTCTCTCTCTCTCTCTCTCTCACCCCACCCCCTTCCTTTCTCCAAAATCATTCAATAAAAAAAATTCTTTAGAATTGTGTGATTGTGAATGAAATTTTGTTAATTATAAGTTACATTTTGAGATGACAAATGGAGCAATGAGTTTCAGCCACTGCTTTTGTTTTTAAAAAGAACCTACCTGATGGTCAATTACAAAAGACCTGCCACAGCAGAAACCCCCAATAGAAGCAAGCGAATTCTCCATGTTGGCGCTAATAAGATCAATATCATCGATCTGCCAAAAAAGACAGAGGGTGTCAATTATTCCTCAGTTAAAAACAAACCAATGTCAAGTCTAGAGACAAAATTTCTGCACTAATCATGTCAACATCTGGGTTCCACAATTTATGTGAAAACAGAGGATAAACCACACAAAATCTGTTGTTAAAAGGACTGATATTTCAAAGCCTGCTTTTTTCCCATTTCATCATGTACTAACAATTTATACACAATGGGGAAGAGAGATAAATTTGAAGAATATGAAACCCAAAGCTGTTTGATACTAAAAATATTCAGAGGTACAAAATAAAATCATATCCTGGCCTTCTGCACAAAAAGTAATTGAGGTAAATAAAAACTTTAGTTTTAAATATTTTGTGTTCCTACATTCCATTTACCTTTCATCTTTTCAAAAATGAAATCATACATGGTAATTGATTCTTTGACCAAACTGGACGAATTGGGCAGTGGGTGAACCTAATGTACCCCGTGGGCTTCTGAGTTCTATCTTCTCAACAACTTAAGTGTTCCTTTGATCCTCACCTTCTGCTCCAGCCTCCAGTTCTTTTTGTTTTTAAAAAGAACCTACCAAGTTTCGTTCTGGCTACATAGCAACTATTCAATAATTACTCACCAATGCCCATGATAACAACTAATCAGATCACATCTGTTGTTTTCTTAGGTGTTCCACAGATCCAATAAGAAAATCTATATCCTCTCATTTTTTTTTAACCCTTTTATTATAAAAAATTTTAAACATAAACGAAAGTAGAATAGAAGAAAGTATCATTATCGCCCAGATTCATTTAGCAACTCATGACAATCTCATTCCATTTATAGCCCCCAGTACCCATATCATTTCTTTGGAGTAAATCTCAGACTTCATATGGTTTCATCTATCAATATTTCAGTGTACATTTCTCAAAGATATGGACTCTCTCAAAAATATAATCACAAAAGTATTATCATACCCCCAAAATGAAAAATTTCTTAATATCAAAAATTCAGTGTTTAAATATTTGTCTCATTAAGCTTTTTTAAAAACAGTATTTATTTGACTCAGGATCCAAGTAAGACTCAAATAATCTGTACTCTTACTCAACCCCTGATGTTAGATAGTGCTTTTTTCCCTTCTTTAAAATTTTCATGCCTTAAAATTTGCTTGAATTACATTTCCATTTTATCTTTGATTCTTTAGTGCATGTAACTGTCAAAAGTTGGTTTGTCTTTGAAGAGCATATGTCAATCTAAGTTCTCTAATCTAAGGTGACTCTATGCTTTATAGTTGAACTTGATAACACAGGTTGCAAAACTTTCATGCACAAGATTTGGAGAAAAGCTTTATTCCACTTGACTATACACACACAGTACAGGATGAAGACGGGTTCTGCAGATAGGCTGACTAGCTCCTCTCTGAGGCTCCAGGAGCACAAGCCACTAAGACTAGGGGCAGCTGGGGCTCACTTTCTTTAGCAAAAGAAAACATGACAAACTGAGTTTAGTTGTCTGGGAGTTTGAAGGGCTTTGCTGAATCTGTACCAGTGGTGATTCTGACACACACACACACACACACACACACACACACGTATATGTTTATGTGTCAGAACTGTAAATACTAAAAGAACATCTTTTCACTGCTATCACAGATATTTTCTAAAGGACTATTTAGGGAATTCTTACTGTTCCTAAAGAAGAGATACTGAAAGCCTGGGTCCAATGCTACATAGAACACGAATTCTATAATGAGCCACTCTGAGTCAACAGTTCTGAGGGAAGACAGGCCAACCCGTTTGGCTGAATATCGCCTCTGTGGGCTTATGAAGTGACAGATACCAGAGTGGCATGGCCCTGCACATCCATGAGGAGCACTGTCTGTACCCATGAACCTGCTCAGCAGGATGGAACGGCATACTTCCTATATGAGAGAATGTTCCAAAAAAGGAGAACTTACATTGATTCCAAAATGTTCAGTGACTCCTCGGCCATGCTCCCCCAGGACTCCAAACGAAAGGCTTTCTTCCAGAAAGATCCTGGCTTTGTATTTGTATTTTAAATTAACCTAAGTGTTAATAAAACATAACTTTACAATTCTGATGATTAGTGACAGCAAACAGAATATTCCGGGAACAAATATTAACCTTAAATGGAAAGGACGAAATGGCATGTACAGTTGCTCCTCAGTACAAGCAGATTCTTATCTGTGAATCTACTCACTTCCTGAAATTTATCTGTAACCGCTGAATCAATATTCAGGGCACAAGGGCAGAGCAGTGAAAACTCTGAGTCACCTGACCTGCATGTTCCAGCTGAGCTAACAGGAGACAGCTTCAGCTCATACTTTAAAGTGTCTATCACCTGTCTATTCTCATACCTGTCTATTGCCACATTTTTTCCGTTTTTAAATTTTTGTTGGTGTCTTGTTTAAAATGATCTCAAGCATAGTGCTTAAGTACTGTCTGGTGTTCCTAAGTGTGAGAAGGCTGTGATGTGCCTCACAGAAAACATGTGTGTTAGATAAGCTTTGTTGAGGCAGGAGTTACAGCGCTTTTGGCTGTGATTTCAATGTGGATGAATCAGTATCAATTAAAGAAGGTGTCTTTAAACAGAAACACATAAAATGAGGTCATGTACTGAATGACTGATGAAAATGTTGTGACTAGAGGCTTGCAGAAAACTAACTCTGTTTGCTCAGGAGCAACAGTTCAGAATTCTGTAATTCAGTATTTGATCTATGTTTATAAAACATAAGTACCATGAATAACGAAAATCGATGGCACTTTAGATGCTCTAAAATGTTCAACCTAACTCAATAATACACAGAGCACAATGCCAATTTTTAAAGTAAGTGGTAAGACATCATGAATATAGACACGTAATCTATCTGTTAAATACTGGTTTGATCACACAAAAACTCCTGGGAAATGCAGAAAACGTTTTCACTGTATGTTTTCCCCTCTACTTTTTCAGGTTTATAAGAAAGTTCTTTCCCATTAAAGAAAGGTTCAGATGCATGTTTTTCTAAGTATTTCATGTTATTTATATTGTTGTTTATATACTGGGAAGTTGAACATACGCATGATTGTGTATAGGTTTTGCCCCCTAAGGTTTAAGTACCCCATGTGATACGTATGTGATCGGTTTCACAACTGTATTAAAATATCAACCTCTAAATTTTATACATATAAGAAGTTGACCTTTCAAATATTCCCATGACTCATGTATCTTTTCTTGTGGCAGCATACTTTAAATTACTAAAGATTTAATTTTAAGATTTTTTTTCTCCCACAGAAACTATAGAAATAATGCATAAAATGTTTCAGGTGATTTGATGTCCCATATCACAAGTCTCAGATAATTTATTTTTTAATCATTAAGATTTTATTGGCTAATCTTGCTAATCATTATCAAACTGGAGGAGGCACAGAGCTTTTTGCTGGATTTTAATTAAAAATGAATAAACTCATTTAAGGAGATTCACATCTTTCAACACTTGCTCTTTTCCATCCATTAATATGAATGGGATAGTTTCTAAAAATCATGTTTTCAAATGTATCTAATAATATTATGACAGAACTGGTACATAAATAGATCAGTGAAAGAAAAGAGGAATCACACAGTCAAACCTTATTTTGTATCCTGTAATCTTTCCACACTCTATACTTCTATACACTGGATCTGTCCCTATACTTCAAGGGTTCTGTTTCATTGTTTGGTGGTATACTTGCCCATCAGTACTGTCCTGTTGTTGTATCCCTATAAAATGCAGTTCTACCATCTTTTCACCCACTACCTCATTTTTCTATCAGTCTTTGACACTCATGAAGACAAGGAGGAAAAAAAAAACCAACCAAATACATCTCTTTTATTGATATTTAGGATGTATCTATATTTTCTCAAAACACAGTGAAAAACTTTAAAAATAAGATATAAAACTTATTTTAGATCCTTATTCGATTGATGGACTCATAGATTCAAATTTCAGTGGTCAAACGCAAGGGTGGTTCAACAGAGGAGAAGCAACCAATATAATACATCATATTAACAGAATGGCACAACCACGGTGGAAGACAGTATGGCAATTCCTCAGTAAGTTAAATGTAAAACTACCATATGATCTAGCAATTAAACTGCTAGATATATATACAGAAAAGCTGAAAACAGGGACTCAAACAAACTCATACACAAATGTCCATAACAGGACTATTCACAGTAACCAAAAGGTGGAAACAACCCAAATATTCATAAGCAGATAAACAAAATGTAATCTTACTTAGCATTAAAAGGGAATAAAATACTGATCCATGCTATAAGCTGAGAGAACTAGGAAAACTTTAAGCTGAGTGAAGCCAGACACAAAAGGTCATGTATTGCAGTAGTCTCTCCTTAGCTTTAGTTCACATTCTGTGGTTTCACTTCCCACAGTAAAATTTGGTCTGAGTATGTTAATTGGAAAATCCCAGATATAAACAACTCAGTAAACAATTCATAAGCTTTAAACTGCATGCCCTTTTGAGTAGTGTGATGAAATAGCACACTCTTCCGTCTGTTCTGCCCAGGACGTGAACCATCCTTTGTCCAGTGTATCAATGCAATATACAAACACTTAGTAGCCATCTTGGTTATCTTGGAGTACTTTGGAGTACTGTCAAGGTACTCCAAGTGACTGTGCTCAAGTAACCCATATTTTACTTAGTAGTGACCCCAAAGTGCAAGAATGATGATGTAGGCAATTTAGATATGCCAGAGAGATGCCATTAAGTACTTCCTTTAAATCAAAAGGTGAAAGTTCTTGAGTTAGGGAAAAAAATCATGCTGAGGTTGCTTAGATCTATGGTAAGAACGAATCTTCTATATGTGAAACTGTGAAGGAAAAAGAAATTCATGCTGTTCTGCTGTTGTACCTCAAACTACAAAAGTTATGGTCACAGTGCGTAAGTACACAGTTAAGATGGAAAAGACATTAAATTTTGTGAATAGAAGATACGAACAGAAAATGCATTCCAGCTGATGGCAACATGTTGCGCCAGAAAGCACTGAGCCTATATGAAGACTTCAGCAAGGGGCCCCCTGAAACAAAGGACCACATTCATGTAACTTTTATTACAATACATTGCTATAAAGGGTTCTATTATTATTGGTAATCTTTCACTGTGCCTAACTTACAAATTAATCTTTATTTTTATGTATATATTTATAGGAAAAACATGGTATAATATAGGGTTTGATACTATCTACACTTTCAGGCACCCACTGGGGGTCTTGGAATGTGTTTCCCATGGATAAGGAGGGACTACTGTATGTGATACCTATCAGGATGATTCCATTTATGGAGCTATCCAGAACAGGTAAATCCATATAGAGAGAAAGCAGACTAAGGGAGAGGTGGTTGTTCAGGACTAAGAGAGAGGCAAAATGCAGAGTGACTGCTTATTGGGTACAGGGGTCTTCTTTGGAGTGATGAAAAGGTTTTAGAACTAGATGGTTGATAGTTGTACAACACTGTGCATATACGAAATGCCACTAAACTGTATACTTTAAAGTAGCTAATTTTGTTATGTAAATTTCACATGAATTTTTTAAAAAATTCAAGTCATGGTTTCTAAAAAGAGTATGCTGCTTTTCTCTGTTAAAAAGCTAAGTTTTACAAAATACACAATGTATAATTTTATTTATATTTAAAAGATTTTATTTATTTATTTTTAGAGAGTGGAAGGGTAGGAAAAAGAGAAACAACAATATATTGTTGCCTCGCACACGCTCCCTATACTGGGAACCTGGCCCACAACCCAGGCATGTGTCCTGACTGGGAATCAAACCAGCGACCCTTTGATTTGCAGGCCGGCACTCAATTCACTGAGCCACACCAGCCAGGGCTATTTATATGAAAATCTACAAAAGCAAAACTATAGGAACAAAAAAGTAGATCAATGGTGGCCTTGGGCCAGATTTGGGGGTATTGACTACAAAGGGGCACAAAGCAACCTTTTCTCAATGAAGATGGTTTTAAAAAGTTGAATCTTGATTATTCTTTAAAGACCAGAGTAGGCATTTAATGTTAATCGACTTCTCTGGTATGATTAGAATGTGCTTATGATACCTATTGTGCAAAGCAATGTAGACGATATACATTAAAACTGGTCATAAACAAAAGGCAAACTGCCAAATAGTTCGAATACTAAAATAATAAATAATCGTGATTGCTTACCAATTCTGGAAGAGGACAAATAGTTCCAGTATTCATATACAACCCTTCAACTACAATGAAACGTCGAGTTACACGAGCCTTGCGAGGGTTCTTTAAAAGAAAAAAAAAACCCAGATATTTTAAATTTTAGTAACTCCAAATATAAAATCTGTTATAAGATTTATCCATCAAAATAAATAACTAGATAGTATGGATGAATTTCAAGCCCAGGCTTGAGATCATGCTATTATGAGAGGAAGTATTGTGCTTTCTCCTCCCAGACATGTTTTTCAGTTCATACAATCAACTAGGAGATCTTACACACACACACAGAGCTCGCTCACACACAAAAACAAGGTTTGAGGACACGGGGTGTCCTGCCTCTCCCTGCCTTTTAAAATGAAGTGTTTCATTTAGGATTTTAAAATATTTAATGTAAAACTCTTGAGCAATGGAAAAGTACAAAAAGAATTTAGCAAATTAGCTTGTCACACCACACATGGATAACTTCTGTCCTTCTTGTAAAAAAAAAAATCTTTAAAAATTACTTTGTTCAAATCAGGATTTTACTGCAATAGTTTTAGGAACTGATTTTAAAAATATTATGAGCATTTCCATATTATTTAAAACATGATTTCAGGGGGGAAATTAATATTCCACTTTGTGGGTTTACCACAAATTAACAATTCTCTCAATGTTGGACTTGCGTTGTTTCTCATTTTGCTTTTTTATATTGTATTATAAATATCCTTCAATCTTTGACATCACTTTTGATTACCTCCTAAAGACAGCACTCCAGATACAAGTCTGAAGGGTATGGATATTTAAGAATACTGGAATATATTTACCCACTTACACTCTAGAAAGGCTGTTTCAATCGAAACTTCCCAAAATTACAGGAAGGCCCTCTTTCTCATCACACATTTCAGTGTTGACACTGATTAATACTATTAGTTCCCTAATTGGATAGGCAAAAACTCCTAGCCTAATTTCTCCAATTGTTAGTGAAGCCACACTATTTTTCACTTGCTCAGTTATTTTATTTCTTACTATAAAATGCTGTTTTTTATCTGTCCTTTAGTTTTAGAAGAACATGGGACAAGGGAACCCTGTAGAAAAAGGAACGAGAAACATCTTGAGAAATTAAAAACAAAAAGTTGATCCAAAACCTGAACTAAACTGCAACATTTTATTTCACTTTCAGAGGAAAGGTAAGTATCTAAGTAGAAAATATTAAAAAATTTAACATTTATATTTATGTGAAAATAAAACAGAAAAAAATTATTTTTAAAATCCAAAATGTAGAGTTACTTAGAAAGCCTACTCTTGTTAGGACAATGTAGTATAAATTAATTAGTAAAAAAGTAAAAACAGAAATAAATTTCAAGATAATTTTATTTAAAATGGAAATAAATTTCAAGATAATTTTATTTCTTGTTACGTATTTTAAAAGTTCCATGAATAATAAATCCGGTAAAACACATACACACACAACAAACTTGAATATCACGTTTTCCAAATTTTTACAGTACTAACTTGACAAAATAAACTGTACAGCAGACTGGCCATTGGTAATACTGCCCAAAGCAGTGTTCTGGTGTCATTCTATTATTATGTCAGTATAAGGGACATCTTTTTACAATATGTAGGAAAAAAGTCATCAATGGGACAGTTTCAATTTTAAGACTTTCCCAAACTGTGTAACTATAAACACAGGCCTGTTGCACATCTAGCATTAAATAGTGAGAGTCTATGTATATCCATCACAGATGAAAATTCATCACGGAATGTATATATTCATTAAGAGCTGCTCTTAGGGTGTCACCTGAACAAAGATAACAAAATCCTATAGGAATAATGCAAATTATTTGGAAAAAAACAAAAATGAGCACAAACTTAAGGAATGTGATGATTGTTTTTATCAGTTCTTCTAATAATGAATGAGCTGTACTGGAAAAGCTTGCCTGAAAGTGGTATTGAGATGAAGGCTGTGGTCACCAGCTTCCTAGGTCACAATCGTTGCTGCAGAAGCACAGGCCAGAATGACCTTTTTCATCCATGTCATCACAAGAAAACAGATGATAACTCTAACAGTGATGCTCTGAACACATTTCCTTTGCTACACTCCAATTGAACATGGAGGAATGAGTGCCATTCCCCAAGAGGAAGAAAAAGCGTAAATTGGCTGCACAACAGCAGGAAACCAAGTCTGGGGTGTTGTTCATAGGCAGCAGCCACTTAGAGCTGCAGCACGAAGGTGGGGTGGGGAGAAAAGAGTGCAACTTTATTCATAAATTCATAAATTAAGACCTGCTGTTACTGTTTCTTCCAGTTAATTATGACATGATTTATTCTGATATAAACTGACCTATTTTGGATTCAATAGGTACAGCTCATTAACATGCTAATGAGTTCTGGTGCTATTCTGCACAGTTGAAAGTATACATCGCCTTTCCCGAAAGTGCAGGCTGTTTTCCTCTCTCCTTTTAAGAAAGCTGTCTGATTACCTTCCTCCAAATTTGCCACATATAGCTATGGCAGTGATGAGGCAATTTACAATCAGGCTTGGCTCTATAATATGAAGTACATCTAATAAGCAGGAACGTCCTTAATATCCAAATGTGATCCGCAGGCAAGTTTTCAGGACAAATTACCATTTCATATATAATTTAGCTGGTTAGAAAGCACAAAAGAACTACATAATTTTCTTCAAAAGAATCATACCTTTTGATCTTCGATCTCTTGTTCTTTTAGCAGTCGCTCCAGGTCAGCCATATCATTATGCTCAAATAACTTAATGTCACTACGTGATGCCTGTAATCCTTTCTGAATAGCAAAGCAGGCAGCTCTATCTCTGTAAGGCAGAGAGAACAACCAAATTGGGGTTTAATAGGCCTTGTCAACATTCTTAAAAAGGAATGCTTGCTTTAGAAGGATTACCAGCATACACTTGTTAATGTGAACATGACAAATAAATAAAACATGTCTAAACATTTATTTAATTAAAGAGCTTATTTATTTATTTTTAGAGAGAAAGGGAGGGAGAAAGAGAGGGAGAGAAACATCAATGTGTGATCAGTTGCCTCTCGCACACTCCCAACTGATGGATCTGGCCCACAACCCAGGCATGTGCCCTGACTGGGAATCAAACTGGCAACCTTTCAGTTCGCAGACCAGAACTCAATCCACTGAGCCACACCAGCCAGGGCTAAACATTTATATGTCATTGTTTACACTTCTCTCTGCAAGTTTTTTTTTTTCACAAAATTACCATATTGATTCTATTCTAAGAAGCACTCTCTTGCCATATTTTCACCTCTCAAAAGTCAGCACACATTTACTATGGATGGCATCTTAGTTTACTCACAGTAATTTTCTCTTTCTCAGAAAGAGAAACACTGAGCATTTCACCATCCCTGGCATCTCTGATTTGAAGGTCACACTCCACTGCTGTTATACTTGGCCATGAGAAGCAATACTGAACAGTTGACTCTATCTGTATGACACAGGGCAGAACTCTGAATCTTGTAGATTAAACTTCCACGAGATCCTCTAAACTTGGTTAATTAGGAGGAAATACGAGGTATGTCTAGAGAAAGTCCAACCATTGATAATATAACAAGAACAGTTTGTGTGACATTGATGTTACCTGGCAGTCAAGGAGAGTAGACTTGAATGCACGTGTGTGAACAATGACAACTTCACTGTATTAGTCAGTGGGGGCAGTAGATGCTGTTGAGTGAGTATGTGTACTGTGTGGCCATCACATTCAAAATGACTGAGCGAGTAGAGCAATGAATCTGCAGCAAATTTTGCATTAAACTTCAACAGTCCTCCAAAGAAATTATTTAGATGACTCAGAAGGTTGCAGCTATGGGCAACTGGTGATTGGTAGCTTAATTTCACAACAACATGCCCACTCATGCAATACATCTCACGCAGAGTTTTCTGATGAAACATCAAATCACCCAGATGACGTAACCCCTCTATAGCCCAGATTTGGTGCCCTGCAAATTCTGGCCTTTCCCAAAACTAAAATCACCTTTGAAAGGGAAGAGATGGCAGACCGTTGATGAGATTCAGGAAAATAGGGCAGCTGATGGTAATTGGGAGAACTGTGTGAGGTCCCAACATGCCTACTATGAAGGGGACTGAGATGTCATTGTCTTATATACAATGTTTCTTGTATTTTCTTCAATAAATGCCTTTATTTTTCATAATGTATGGCTGGATACTTTCTGGACAAACCTCGTATTTTTAAATTAGGTTGTATTATCTACAAGTATATGTAAGACTTCTATTTCTGGGAAGATGGAGTAGACATCCCTATCTTTATTACTAGGTATAATCAAAACCCCTGGATTTCACATATAAAATAAATGCAAGAAGACTGAAATGTGTAGAGAAAAGTCAGACCAGCTAGGGACCTAAGAAATTACATGAAATCAATTTCCTGGATTTTCCAGACTTAGAGCTGATAAAGTTGGCCACCTTTAAATGCCACAGACACAGACAAAAAAGCTCTAACAGAAGCCTCTGCTCTGTAGCCAAAAGGGCAGCCCAGCAACAATAATGGATTGACTGCAGCCACACCATGAAAAAACCTGGGGCCACCCCCTCTGTACCAGCAAAGGCTAATAAGGGGCCTACACTCTGACACTTGTGAGGCTATAAACCCAGGATGGTGTCAGATAAGAGATGAGACTTTTATCTGCACCTGACAATAATATATGGCCCAAATTGTGGTGTCAGTGAGACCATGCGGAAAGCTCTGTACTTCTACCCACCCTGTAGTTAAGGGTACCCTCCCATTCTCGGTGTGCTCTGTATCAGAGGAGGCTAAGAGGAGAGCAGGAGGGAGAAAAAACACCCCCACCTCGGTGCCAACAGAGGCTGAGTGGGGACCTCCACCTGGCAGTAATGAGGCAGCAGTGCCTCCATACAGCTGTTGGAAGAGTGTCAGGGAAAGGCAATTAAAATAGTAGGTTGAAATAATGCACAAACTACAACAGCATAACATGAAAAAGTCCAGATTTCAATGAACTATTACATTTCATATCAAGAACCATAAGATTAAATATACTAAAAAGAAAACAACCAACAAATATTAAAACTCAGGTGAAAACGATGTCAGGACTTCTGACAATTTTAGAGCAGTCATGATAAAAATGTTTCTTCAAAAAATTGAAAACAGAACTATCACATGATCCAGCAATTCCACTTCTGGGTATTTATCCAAAGAAAATGAAAACAATAATTCAAAAAACAAATGTGTCCCTGTTCACTGTAGCATTATTTACAGTACCCTAGATATGGAAGCAACATAGGTGCCCACTTACAGTCAAGTTGATGAAGAAGTTGTGGTATGTACACACAATAGAATATTACTTGGCTATAAAAAAAGAATGTAATCTTGCCAGTTGCAATAATATGTATGGACCTAGAGGGTATTATGCTCAGGGAAGTTAAGTCAGACAGAAAAAGACAAATACCTTGTACCATGTAATTTCACTTACATGTGGAACTAAAAAAAGAAACAAAACAAAAACAAAAAAAACCCCCAAACAATTAAAAGCAGAAACAGACTCATACACAGAGGAAACAAACTAGTGGTTACCAGAGTGGGGAGGCATTCAGGGGCTGGATAAAATAGGTGAAGGGGATTAAGAGGTACAAATTTCCAATTATAAAAATTCAAAAGAGTCATGGGGTGTGATATACAGCACAGGGAAAAGAGCAGTAATATTGTAATAACTTTGTAGGATCATAGTAATTAGACTTATGTGGGAATCATTTCAAATGTATACATTAAGTATCAAGTCATCATAATGTGCATATGAAACGAATAGACTATTGTATGTCAATTATATACCAATAAAAAAGGTTTCCAATGGGAGACTCCTGGTCAAGATGGAGGCAGATGCAGACACACTTGGCCTCCTCATGCAATCACAGAGCAAATTACAACTATATCTCAAAACAAACAACAGCCAGAACTGTCAGAAACTTGAGCTGTATGAAAGTCCAACAACCAAGCCACATTCATCCAGATGTAGGAGGGGTGGAGTCACAGAGTTGGGTAGAGAGGCACAGATACACAGTATGGCACGGAGAGGTGATAGTGGCAGAATGGGTGGTCCCCGCACTCACATGTGGTAGATAAAAATCAGGAAGGATACGCTGGGAGTGAGTGATCCCAGCCCCAGGCCAGACCACACAGCCCAGGGTTCCAGTGCTAGAAAGACAGATCTCCATAACTTTTGGCTATAAAAACCTTGGGAGTTGGGGCAGCGTTAGAAACTGTTGGATTTTTAGGAGAGTCCATTTAAAGGTCATGCATGGACATAGAACACATGTAAACTCACCCACCCACCCACCCACTGAGATGCACCACCAGGGCAACAGCTGGAAGGGTGTTGGTCACATACGAGAAATGGGTGAAGTGACTGGAAATGGGTCAAGACCTGGGCGAACCTCAGGAACCAGGCAGCTGCATTTTCCCTTCTCTGAGCCCTCCCCCAACACAGAGCCACGAAGTGGAGAAGCAGGTTGACCACCTGGGCAATTACTTAAGGCTCCGCACCACACAATTTACAGGTGCCTTTTCTAAGACAGGGAGTAAGAGCAGCTCTACCTAATACATAGAAACAAACACAGTGATGCTGTCAAAATGAGGAGACAAACAAATATGGCCAAAATGAAAGAACAGAACAAATCCCCCGAAAAAGAACTAAATGAGGCAGAGATAACCAAAATATTAGATGCAGAGTTCAAAATGCTAGTGATCAGGATTCTCAAAGAACTCATTAAGTATGGCAAAAATATAAGGGAAGAAATGAAGGTTACACTAAGTGAAATGAAAAATATGCAGGGAACCAAGAGTGGAGAATATGAAGTCAAGAATCAAATCAACAATTTGGAACACAAAGAAGGAAAAGCTTTCAATCAGAACAGCAGGAAGAAAAAAGAATTAAAAACAACAACAACAACAACAATAGTCTTAGGAACATCTGGATCAACTTTAAATGTACTAACATCCAAATTATAGGGGTGCCAGAAGAAGAAGTGGAAGAGCAAGAAACTGAAAACTTATTTGAAAAAATAATGAAAGAAAACTTCCCTAATTGAATGAAGGAAGTAGACATAGAAGTCCGGGAAACACAAAAAGTCCCAAACAAGCTGGACCCAAAGAGGACCATGCCAAGACATATCATAATTAAAATGCCAAAGGTAAAAGACACAGAATCTTAAAAGCAGCAAGAGAAAATGGAGCGAGTTATCTCCAAAGGAGTTCCCATAAGACTATCAGCTTATTTCCCAAAAGAAACTTTTGGATGCAAGAAGGGACTGGCAAGAAGTATTCAAAGTCATGAAAAGCAAGGAAAGTTCATCATCACCAAGCCATTATTACATGAAATACTAAAGGGACTTACTTAAGAAAAGAATAAAAACTATGTACATTAAAAGGGCAAAAAAATTCAACAACTGAATCTAAAAAAACAAACCAAGCAAACAACCAGAACAGGAACAGAATCATAGATATGGAGATTATTTGGCAGATTATCAGTGGGGAGGGGGAATGGGGGAGAACTGGGTGGGGAAATCTGTATGGGTTAAGATGTATAAATGGTAGGTACAAAATAGATAGGGGGGTGTCAATAAGAGTATAGGAAGTGGAGAAGCCTAAGAACTTATATGCACGACCCATGGACATGAACTAAGGCGGGGGGGTGGGGGGAGGTTGGAAATTACTGGATGGAAATGGGTTACTGGGTGGCCAGGTGGCAAAGGATGAAAAAATTGGGACAATTTTAATAGTATAATCAATAAAATGTATTTTAAATGTTTCCAATG